TATTCTTAATGGATAAGTGAATGGTTAGGATTGTCCTTAGCTAAAAATATCAATGATCAATGGCTAACATATAACCAAAAAATCATGCTATGATGTGTATTAGTATAAAATTTCCAATTGACTATCTAAGTGAGCTTCTGATTATTTTTTTATTTTATTTTGAGCTTAAGTGTTGCATACTAATTCAAATTATGCTTTTACATGTTTCCATAATCCATTTTTATTATTATTTGATTACTCTAGAGTGATTACAACGTACTATATGTTCGAATCACTCTCGACTATTTGACAATAAACGTTCAAACATCTCTGCAGACATCGTGTTTGAATTCAAAACTTTTAAGATAACAATTATCCCTTAACCATTAAGGTCGTTTGGTTCGTGCTTCCATAATCCATTTGCTAAGATAGGCATGTTTTGTTTTGTTTAACATGCTTCGGAAGTAGACTACAGGTAAGATTTAACATGATTCATAATAATACGATCTGTGTGTGATGATTTTGTGTATACTTAGGTTGTGTTTTTCTAATACAAAACACACTATAAAATAGGGCTAGTGTGTAGATTTGTTAATTATGATTAGTTAAGCATGTTTGGAGTTTATCTTGAATTTTATTGTAGTCTAATCGAATATATTGATAGTCTAGACCAACATATCTACGTCTTTGCTCGGAAGCTAACATGATTTGATGGTTAAAGATAAGTCATCTCCTCATTTTAACTTTTGATAACGCAATAATCTTTATATATTATTTTTTAGGATAATTATATGAATTACAGACATGTTTAGATTATCAACTAATATAAATCATCTTATATATTATAATCAACCTTATAATATTACTTATATTTAATTAAACCACTAGATAATTAATGAGGTAATATTTTCTTATATTTAATTGTTTATACATGTAATATCAAATTTGAGGACAATATGTACAATAACATAAATAAATAACATATAAAAAGTGTTAGTATTTGTAAGCGAAAAAATAATCAAAATGATATCAACATAAGATAAGACGTACATGAGACGAGATTTAACGTGGTTCGATTTTGTCTACTTCCGCGAATGAGATGAACAATAATCCACTATAAATGTAGAAATCAAGAATAAAATTACATGATATCACATGTATCCCAAAATTCGATATTGATCCCAAAACCTATTGTATCCCAAAAACTCTCCCAATCCCTACAAAACTATATCTTCAACATAAACACCAAAAGTTGCAAATACTCCAAAAGGATTACATCACTCTAAAATAATTCTCTCTCACATTAGGTTCAGACATTATCCCTATTTATAGAGCCAAATACTTGGTCATCAAAAATTCTTATAAAAATTCTTGCTTAAAATAATTACAATAAATCAAACTTAATTGTCAATTATAATTTGTGTCAAAATATAACAAATCCCCCATTGATCTAAATTTTATCAAAAATCGATCTTCAAATCTTCGACAACTTTAATCTTTACGTAAGCCGCATATCCATTGAAGCATTGCTGTCAAATCTTTAACAACTTGAATTCTTACGCAATATCCATTGAAGTATAACTGGATCAATCGAAAATTTCATTTTGCATGTCTCCAAAATTGCTAATAAGATCTGCAGCAATAAATTCCTTCAAAATTCTACATCCCAAACCATAGCTCTGATATTACTTGTTAGAAATTGTAAACGAAAAAATAACCAAAACGATATCAACATAAAATAAGATATGCACAGGAGATGCGATTTAACGTGCTTCGGCCTTTCCTACATCCACAGGCGAGATGAACAATAATCCCCTATTAACGTAGAGATCAAGAAGAGTACAAGTACATTATATCACATGTATCCCAAAATCCGGTATAGATCCCAAAACTCGATGTATCCAAAAAACTTTATCAATTCATACAAAACTATCTTTGCAACATAAACCCAAAAGTTGCAAAAACGCCATAAGAATTACATCTCTCCAAAATAATTCTCTCTCACATAAGGTTAAAACATTATCTCTATTTATAGAGCTAAATATTTGGTCATCAAGAATTCTTATTGCCTAAAATACTTACAATAAAATCAAACTTAATTACCAATTATAATTTGGGTCAAAATATATCAAAAAAATTATTTATTTCATTTTAGTTTAAACGAGTTCAATAATTACACAAATTACTTCACTGAAAAAAATTAAATTTCAACAATTATGACTACACTCACCTACTTCAAACTTATCGTCAATACCGTATCGAGCTATCAATGATCAAATTTGTTCTTGCCTTTACTACTTGAAGCTCATATCTGGTCTTGAGCTTCAATCCAAATATGAACATATTCAAAAGCCAAAACCTGATAAAAAAGTTAACGTCATGATCAAAGTATAAATACGAAGCAAAGATGATGTTTTAGATTTTCTCAGGACAGATAAAAAAATTATATTAGAGGAATATTAGGGGGTGAAAACTTAAAAAGTTATATTAAAAATTTAGAGGATGTAGAGTTATAAAATTTTAGAGAGTGCGAAATTAGATAATTAATAGAAAATATCTAACATATAAGAGAATTTGAAATTTTTAAAAAATACAACCATACCCTAGTACCCTCAGTCCATTCCTAGGGTTCTCATGATGTTACCTTACTTTCAAGAAAATCCAAACAATAATCCATTCAAATTTCCACTTAAGCATCATACGATAAACAATGGGTTTGTAGAATTTAAAAGGATATCTCCACAATTTACTTCATTCAACAAAGCCCAAACCTTACTCTCTCTTATTCTTAATGGAGAAATGAATGGCTAGGATTTTCCTTGGTTAAAAATATCAATATCAATTGATAACATTAACCTTAATATTGTTCCATTATTCATTTAAGGACCTCTAAAGTTTTTTTCTTCACTTATTCTTAAATCTAGGTACACAACATCGATTAATCAATATGGTTATGGATAGTCACTTTCTAGAATAATTAATAAGACTATTATTGTTCCAACAATGAGGTTGGTTCAAGTGGTAAGCAACTTGATATCGTATAAGCAGTTCGATATCTTTTAAGTAGGTTTCGAGTTTGAGTCCTTATATATGCAAAAAAATCCCCGTTAGGAGCCTCATCTACTAAAGCTAGATGTACAATATAGCTCGGTCTGAATTAATCAAGACAAAACCTTGGAGAACCGAGAGGAAAAAAACTATTATTTGACTAGAATCGATGCAGTTCAAATAATAAACATATAACCAATAAGATTTTTAATTTTTATTTTTCTAATCGTTCAATTCGAATCAAATTGTGGGTACTAAAATTAGGGATGTTACATCACACTTATATAATTTTCAAGCTCTAGAATTCTTTTAATCAAGAACTATAGCATGATATGATGTCCCAAGATTGGTTGTTGTAGTTAGGGATGCTCTAATTAGATTTTGTTGTTAGTAGGGATGAATCCATAGTTTTATATTATGAAACAACACATAAATTTTTAATGAGAACGAATTTATAAAATTCTAGTAAAGACGAAAACAAATTATCAGTGAAAATATTAGAAAAATACTTAAATTATATAAGAATTTGAAATTTTCAAATGTCGATCGTCACTCTAGTCTCTCGATCCATCCTTAATTGTTAGGATGGATAGCATGTATTATTTTTAATAATAAAAACAAAATTTCTTATACGACGGTCCGATACGCAATCTTTGCTGACATGAATTCAGATATTGATAAAAAAGCCTTTAGGGTTGATGTCACTACCTAACTATCAAGTTAATGGGGGGGTACCAGATAATCAAAATCATATCTTTTACCAAAATATACATGTCAATCTTAGTCTCTCCCTTTAGCAAGTGTGATGGAAAGGCAAGCAAATACAGGAACGACCAACCCTTCCACCAAACAGCAAGATAGTGCAACGCCTTGTATGCTTGCCACCCAATTCTTTATTACAAAGTCTAGTATTTGTTATACGAATTATATCTTTTTTGTTATTCTTTTGTTGTCATTTTTTTGAAGTTCTTCAAAGTATTCGTAGTTTCATAATCTTTGGATCACTAAAAGACTCACGTGATCTAGATCTACTATCTATCTGCCAAATCTGCTTATTCTACCAACCTACATATAACCATTATAATCCTAGGCCTAACACTAGTATTAAGAACTTGTATATAATCATTATACAAGGTCGGAGAAAAGAGACTCTCTATCCATCGAGATCTCTTTCTCGACGATTCATCAGCTCGTCTATTCTCTATTCCTCTTCTAATGAGTAACCGTTTGCGGTTCTCTATTTAAATCAGAAGGGATAAATTGTCAAAACCTATCACAACTCCGATCGTAAATATACTATCGATTCGAGGTGACGTGACGTGACTTTCTGAATGTATGAAGTAAAATTGGCAAAGGTTTTCAATCAATCTTGAGCAGTACGAAATGCATAGTTTAAAGCTGAGCAAGAATGCAGTGATTGCTAAGAACACACTTGGGGAGTCCCTTTGTACAAGTTGGTGAGATAGTGGAAAACAAAGTATACTTAGCACTACCAAGTGTTCCCTCGCCACTTTGCATATCGCCATAATCCGATTTCCAAATATTATGCCTATGGCTTGTCAAGGAAATTGATTTTCTGATCCACAATAGCTAATTAAATCTGGATAAAATAATTACAATTGGTGCAATATGATACATAGCTCTATTTTATTATACCATCATGTGATGGCTTGAAGATTAAGGTACCTAAATTATCTGCACTATTTTTTATCCGTGAGACTGTTAAAGTAAACACTAAGGTAAAAGTATATAAAGGTAGAGCACATGCTCCCTTTGCCGATTAAAGAGATTCCCACACATTTGAAGCCTGACAGATATAAAGTCTACCTGCACTACGCTTTGTGAGGATTACTTTTTATGGTAAAACTTTGTCCCCCAACAGAATCTCCATTAAAGGAACTGTATACTGCAGTAAACACAATAAGTTACAGAATTTACTGTATGTACTAAATTTTTTTTATTAGTATATAAGCATTTACTTGGCAATGGCATATTTGCCTTTATTCCTTTCTTTGATTTTAAAAAAGGTATAGTGATCAAGTAAAAGAAGTGACATACTGGAATCTTTGAACTAAACATAAGACATCTCGAGTGCCATTGACATTTAAACATACCACACCACTAAACAGACATAAAAAAACAGAACAAAATGAAGGTTTTTTCTAGCTTGATTATGAACCACGACTGCTTTGTCCAAGTGTAGATGGCCGGGGACTGGGAGTTAGCTTTAATCCGAGACCCTTTTCAGCAATTCCCCTCGGTTGACTAATCCGAGGACTATATGCATTTTGTAAGACTCTTGGGCTGTAAGAAGGTTTTATGTCCCCAACTGAAGATGGAGTTGTACTTGCTACTTTAGGACTCTGTGTATGCCGGATTTCTCCACGGCTTCTTGTCATAATTTCGTCTAGAATTTCTAAACCATCGATAGGAGTAGCTGTTGCCTGACGTTCCCGATCCTTTCCATTATGCATACATCATATTGTATCAGGGAATATCTAAGACTACAATCTAATCCTTAAAATGAAAATTTGTGATGAACTAAAGTGAAGAGAGCTTACTTCAAATGTCATGTTGTAGGGAATGGATGGAGCTTCCTCATATTCTGCGGCATCGAGGTCTTGAAGATGAGCACCTTTGAAAACCTTGGGGAGCAAATATTGGCGCACCGGCACGAGAAGCATGATTAAAAGTGGGAAAAGGACCCCAGCTATTGGGATCCATGTTATGCCAAAGCATAACAGCAAGTAAACTGTCTGGAACAAGGTAAAGGTGGCAATAGTTTTGAAAGGTACAGTCTCAATAAAGGTTGCATGATACTCCTCCAACACCCTGATACAACATCGATCGTGCCAAACCAGCATTAGCATAGAACTGAAGATGTCCTTAACATAGTAAAGAAAAGGAATACATACTTGTATCTCCGACTTGGAGCAGTGAAAAGCAACAATATTCTATCCCAAAAATGATTCCCAGGCAAGCTTTCGATGGCCATGAAAGCAAAATAACCCCAGAGAACAGAAGTGGGGATCTTCTTAAGAAGAGGCATAGCAGCAATACACCCACCAACCATCAATGACTGAAGAAAGTTACTAAAACGTTGTTCTTTGACTTCTACTGGTAAAAGCTCATCTATTTCCTTATCGACGTCGAAAATGGTCTCGTCAACAGGTGCATCAATGTAGCCGGTACTTGAAGCTAGTTGGATAGTGGATTCTTTCAGTTCTTTCAGCCCCTATTTTAATTAAAAGGTAAGGGAAGCTGAGGATTATAATAGATGGTGTAAATCAAAATCATGAATACAAATTAATCTACCATAGTGGATGGAAGGTGATAGACAAGTGGAGTCTGAATCTCATTGTACGCTTCTTGCATGCTTCGATATAGTTGACTCAGGCTGGAATTTTTACTTATACTTTTCCGGGCTGTTGAGACAAGCTTATTATGCAGAAGCTGTCACCAATATAATGAAAGAACCGATCACAATGATATACATATGAAAAGGCTCTACCCGACACATAGTACATTCTTGCATCATTAGCTAGCAAACCCCATGTATACCTGATGTTTAAGAGTTGCTAAGCTTTTTGTATGCATTGGGGATTGTGGAATAACACCGTTGGATGGTGGAATGCCGAGAAGACCGCATAATATAACCTGATCAAACCATATTACGATTACGAGTTGAGACCTCCCCCAAAAAAAAGAGAGGCTTCCATCAGATTCAAAAAAATTATCACATGCAATGGCGCACCAGTAAACCCAAAAGTAGAAGGTCATAATGGTATGAAGGTGGCTTTTTTAGATTGAATTCTTTCTGTTGAGCGAGTTGAGATGCTACACTGTGGTCAAAATAGTAAAGCACGGCAATCGTAGTTGCTGGAATAAATGCTCCAACTATGTAAAGAGGAGGAACAGTTACCATTTCCTGCAAACTCGAGAAAATGAGTCTCTTGGCAGGTTTCAAAGGAAATTTAACAGGAAATTAGCTCCTATGAAGGGAAAGGTGTAAACAGATACTAAACATTTGAACACCATAGAGGATTCACCTTGATCACAGTCCAATTAGAGTATGCATCAGGAGACCATGGGTTCGGACTGAAAAGACGCCTTGGAATTCCTCTTGGGACATCATTAACAGGTATGTAAGAAACAGCAGTCCACACAAGAACCATAAGTGGCACCCCATAATCTGCTATAAAACCTCGAAGCCAGCCTTTCAGAAAAAGAAACATAAGTCAGTGAAATAAGGATGACAAAAGTATGGCCTTTCTCCAGCCAGTAAACTATTCTTTCAGTAGCAGAAACGAATGTAACAGCAGCCTCTAATACCTTGTGATAATAATTAGAAATGCATCCAATACCTGTTCCATAGCGCCAGGATCTTGCTTTACGACTCCTTATTGCAGTAAGGAGGAGGCCAAACGACAGAACCAGTGCAAACATTCCATTGCCAAATCGCCACGAAGGCTGCAATGCTGTTTGCTGAGGATTTTCTCTCTGAGGAACGCCAAACTCCTCCACAATTCCCTTTAGAATAAAATTCATTATGTACAAAAAATGAAAGCCTCTAGCACAGTCTTGGGAGGGAATGTATGAGAAAAGTATCAGTACATTTTAATTTTAAATAACAACAGAAAACACTATAAAAGAAACCTTAAATTAACTTCAAGTGACACATAAAAGCATGATCACAAAATTTCAATTATCATGATCATAAGAGTAGATCATTTCCTTCAATACTGTTAATTATGTGAGGATACTCACCCATATAGCTTGCTGCGTGAAAAGCATTGCAATTAGTAGACCAAATAATTCACCCGCAACACGTGTAAATCGATTTATTATAGAACATGCCCCAAGAACTGCCAATAAGAAAAGCAAAAGTGCTGTCCAGACACATACCCTGAAAACCATCAAAGTAAAGAAAAAATCTCAGTGACACCAGAAAACCTATCTGGTTACAGTACTCAAGTATGCTGGAATTGAAGAAGTACCATCCAGTCCAGGCTAAGAAGAGTTTATGCCCCAAATCTTCTCGGTCCTTCGCAAAGTTGTACATAAACGTATACATCAATACTGTTGGCTCTGCAACTCCAAGAATGAGCAAGGGCTGTCCTCCGACGACTGAATGAATGATTCCACAAAGTGCTGTTGATGCAAGAGTTTGTACTGCAGTCAAACTTCCATCTGAAACAACAACAACAAAGTATCCATGAGAAATCATGCCAAACATCGCAGAACATGTTAATGTACATGTATAAGTTGTCTAGTCCCCCACCTGTATTTCGTTCCAGCTGCTCCCCAAAAGATATAACCGGAATTGCTGAAGCAAAGAATATATATGTTGTTGGAGCAAGAATCCTAAATGATAGATAGTTGTCTTTTGTAATAATGAATGTGGATAGGAGCTCATTGTATGAATATAGATGAGCAATGAATGTTACTAACCTGACACCGGCACTGAAGCCACCAGTCCAGTCTTGCTTGTAGCATAAAAGCCTTCCTTTTAGATCATTCTTGATTCCACGTAATGGAACAAAAGTTTCTTCCATGGTAGCTCAATAATTGAGCAAATAGTAATTCGTTTCCTTGCCCTTTTCAGTTGACAGACAACTAATGAAAGAATACAAGACACAACACGCAGACAAAGATCAAAGAACTCGAGAGGACAGTACCATAACTATAGTAACTGATTGATCATTGTTGGATTTAAGAAGAAAAATGATGCGAGTTTCATCATTTTCCCCATGTATAATTCACCCTTGATAAGCGCAGTAACTAAATATTCAGAATAAAAGGAAGTTTACATTTCAATGAATTTGTAAAGAATGATCAAAGTATGAAAAGAATCAAATTATGTACGAATCAAAGCACCTGAAATTCAATTTATTATGGAACAAAAGTTTCAAATTCAACAAACAACAACAGAGGCTGTTAGATCTTTCACTTAATACATGCTGTTAAACAGAAATCTCAGATAAGCTAAAAGTTTCAAGGGCTTAACAGCAAATACCAGAAAATTAACGAGAACCCATCATCCTGAACTCCATTAGAGATCGTTTAAAACAATTTGAAGCAAATGGGCATTAATAAAATCCAAGAACAAATTTTTAAGATCAAGACAGAACAGGAAAAACTGACATTTGAGCAAGATTAACGAGAATCCATAACGGGAATCATAGCAGAACAAGTTTAAAACAGCTTTAAGGAAATGACCATGAATCAAACAGAGAAAGGGGGCAAAAAAGGGGACAATTTGATCAAGATTACATTATAAGAAAAGAGACCCTTCTCAAGCAAGAACACAAGAACACAAAGCTTAGATGAGCAAAGTGGGAAGGGGCAGAGAAATATATATATATAATAGAATGAGAAGCTAAGAGAGTACAAAAGTAGACAATGTGAAGGTTAGTGTTAGAGATGAGGAAAGTGATTAACAGAGAATTAAGACTAGGTTTTTTGGCAAACAAACTCTGGCAATGAGCAAGAGGATTTTTGGCGTTAAACGAGATAGTGTTTGGTGACTAAGCATAAAATAAAACTATCTTCTTTTTCAGCAATGGAAAACAAGGCGAAAGGTGGTGTGGGCTAACGGTTGCTGACAAAACTGGAGGTTGTCAATTTTAGCTTAAAAGCAAGTTTTGGGAGGCAAATTTGGAGATTTGTGAACATGGGAAATGTGACATAAAAATGGGAAAAATCATAAATGCAGCTTAGGCTTATCTTTTAGGGTTGATATAACATGGAGATGAAGATGAGATTTTTGGAATATTACTTCTTTTTAAATAATTTAAAGTGATTATTTTTTTAGTCATTAACAATTTATACCTACAAACATAATCGCATGAACACGAAACTTTTTAAAGAAAATAACTCACTTTTACCGCTAAGACCGTTTGATGAATTCTTTTGAAATCTTACTCCAAAAGTTGGAAAGGTATATCCTTACATTTAACTGTAGTTTTAGAATCAAATATTTCTTTTTCTAACCATCTATATTTGATATATTGACTAATTATCTAAATCGATATTACACACATTCATATATATTATATGTTTAATCTAATTTATTCTATTTATAATATTATATTCAAATCTCAATCATTTAAATAATCTTATATTTTATCTCGTTAAATTAACTACTCATAAGTTATAATCATACTCGAACCTTTCTTTTAAATGACATAACATTTGATCACATCAGATCAACTAGTAATTGTTGTTTTTAAAGTTAATTTAATATTTGTCTTTATAGAATTTTAAGAATATTTAAAAATATTATGAGATAAGTTTATTAACTTTTACATTCTTTTGATATCTTTCACGTTGGTTGTAAGATATATGATCAGATTTTTGGTCGATTTTATTCAAATATACCATCTCTATTATTTAAAAATAAATTAGTATAATTTATTATCACATTTAAAATTTAATAATTTTAGATATTTAAATATTCGACAAATTAACCATTCATGTTAATAAATATATCCATGTATGGATTTAAGGATGCGGGTGAGGCAGTCGCCTTCCCTGAGAATTTCAAATTAGCTTATATTTTAGATATATTTTTTTTGTATTTTCAATTAATAATTTATTTTCGTCCTTAAAATTTTATAATTCGTTTTCTTTTAAAATTTATAGTTTTAACATAAAATTTTACGTCTATACATGTATACCTATATATGTATCATATCTCTTAATCCTATCTTGCTAAACCTATAATACCAACGTGAAATTCTATAGGTAAAAGATTCTAAATGAACGAACGAGAATTGATTCAAGTGGTAAGTAACTTGATATCGTTTAAACACGTCTCAAGTTCGAGTTATCGTATATTTAGAAATTCTCCGCTAAAAGACACGTCCATTAAAATTAAGCGTGCGATTCAAATTAATCCGGATTAATCATGGAGAAATTTTAAAGGGAAAAAAATATGAATGAACTTATATTAGGAGATAGATAAGGTCTGTGATGATCTCTTGATAGGTTAGGAATTGGATCAGCATGACTCCTATATTTTAAGACTTCACGCTCGTGCACATACCTATTAATTCATATATAAAATATACACGTCATGCATACACGATAAACATTATTGATATGACTATTTGAATAATTTACATTTTAGATCACCGAATTTAATTATCACTTCCATTTAAGTCATAAAATTTTCATTTAATCAAATTACATCATTTAACTTTAATTATTAATAAATTAAATCACATATACTAACATTGTTAAATAATTCTAATAGAAAAAGTTGAAATTAATCTTTTACATAACAAAATTTTACATGTCATTATTAAATAATATTCAATTGACAATTTAAATAATTTCGTTAGAATTTATAAAAATTTTAGTTCATTTTTAAAAAGGCATAATGCTAAATTTAGCCCCCAATGTTTACCAAAATGGTCATTTTGCCCCCTATATTTTTTTTGGAGCATTTTAATCCCCAACGTTTCATTTTAGGGCAGAAAGACTTCTAACATTTGACAAAATAATCACTTTATCTCTTTTTTTTATGGGGCATTTTAGCCCGCAACGGTTCACTTTAGGTTAAAAAAGGCCCCTATTTGGAGCATTAACCTTGTGTTACCTAATAGTTTTCATCTACAGAGGGAGCTTTTTGCCCCAAAGAAAAACGTTGGGAGCCAAAATGCTAAAAAAAAATAGGGGCCAAAATGACTATTTTGGTCAACGTTGGGGGGTTATTTTTAGCATTATGCCTTTTAAAAATGATCAATTTTAGTACACAAATGGTCCTCTGATTATAAGATACTATTTTGTTGAGTCCCTTGATTATTAAAAGTTATAAAATGGTCCCTCAATTATACGAAGTTTCTTTGTTGAGTCCATCGACTTTTAAAAGTTACAAAATGGTCAGTCAACTATTCATTATGTTCCAAACTCGCCATTTTCTATTAAAAAATTAACGGCAGTCTGAGCTGAACGTTAATCTCTTGATTGGGATATGATAAAATTTAATATCATAATCTCAAATGACTATCATATCTCAGTCAACATGTTAACGTTCAACTTAGACGACTGCTAATTTTTTAACGAAAAATGACGAGTTTAGAACATAATGAATAGTCAGGTGACCATTTTGTAACTTTTAATAGTCGAGAGAGTCAACAAAGCAACTCCGTATAGTTTAGGGACCATTTTGTAACTTTTAATAGTAGAAAAAGTAAACAAAGCAGTATCCTATAATCAGGGGACAATTTGTGTATTTTACCCTTTTTTTAAGTTTATCTTGAAACCTAAGCTATCACCTTGTTGTTTATTCGGCAGCTGTATAATAATTAGCAGTTTAATTGGTTATGGAACATATTCAGAGACCTAACAGAATTTTCGTGCCACTTTTCATTGACAAATGAAGGTAAGAAAATAATGGCTTTCCCGTACAATATGCAAAGCTATACTAATATTACTTATAAAATCAACAAATTCTTCTTTCGGTTCACTCCTACTTGTTTTTGTCTCTATGTATCACTTTTTAGATTCCTTTTTATACTTAGGGAAGGTGGCTAACATGTACTGGTTAGGCCTAATTGCCCTTAATTCTTTTTTTTTATAAATATTTTAACCCCAACATTTCACTTTAACGACATCAATATGGTAACGGCAACGGCAACGACAACGATAATGACAACGATAATGGTAATGACGACAACGGTAGGGACGACGACGACGAAGTAAAGGGACAACAACAACTGTGGCGACGACATCAATGGCAACATCGACGGTGACGACAATAGTAGTAACAATAATTATAATGACACTGTAGGAATCGTCTTTCGGTTGGGCCCGGAATTGGGCTTCGACTTAGGAAAATGATTTGGAGTTGCCACCGCTCATTTTAAAAATAGTTAGGTGGATCGGACACCATGTTACCTGATCTGTGTTTTACCAGAAATGTATCGGATTCGGGAGTCGGTTACGGTCAAGGAAGGATTAGCACCCTTGAACCGCCCTTTCGGTAGCAATTAATTTACCGGTTGTATTATTTGTGAAAATTAAAATTAAATTGAAATTTAAAACGTTCAATTCAAATTACTTACCTCTGATTTGTTGGAATTTCTCTAAAAACGGGTGAAAAATATTAGATAACAAATGATAAATAAATATTAAATAAATCAAATGGAAAAGGAAAAAAATAAAATAAAATAAATCAAAAGGGAAAAAGGGAAAAATGAAGAAAAAAATAAAAGCAAAAATAAATCAAAAGAAAAAATATTAAATAAATGTGAAAACAAAAATAAATAAAAATATGTATAACAAAAAAAATAAAGATAAGTGAAATTGAGTAAAAAAGATATAATAATAAAAAAAGAAAAAAAATAAAAAGGAAATAAAATAAATAAAAGTAGAAAAATGAAATAGAATAAAAAATAAAAAAGGATAAATTTTTAAATAAAAAAAAAAAATAAAGACAATTAATTACATTAGTGACCAAAATGAAACATGCATAAAACAATATGGCGAAATCATAAGTAATAATATTTAATGAGAATTGATAAGATAAATAAACCAAAACAACTAAAATTATGATAAATATGAACTAAAATAAAACGAATGCAAAATAACAGGGAAAATGATTAACCCCTAAGATAAATGAACAAAGCATGAAGCTTCCAGACCCCAGGGAC